GGGGGGGGGGAGGGGAACCGCCCGCAGGGGTGGCTGCCCGCAGGGCCGGGGTGCCTGCCGGCCGGAGGGCGGGAGTGGAGGTGGGGGTACCAAGCGGTGCCAGCTCCGGGTATCGACTGCTCCCCACCCTCTCCTGTTTAGGCAGCCGTTTGTGTTTTGTTGCCTTCCCCCAGCCCGCTGGTGTTTGGGGCCCTCCTCGCCCCTGTGCCTTGCCTTGAGGAGGGGGAGGGACCCATTCATGGGGCCTGGCGGAGGCGCTCCGCGTTCAGGTCTCTGTAGAGGCCTCCAAGAAGAGGGCTGATATGATGTAACTCAGTGCGACATGAGACGTCGATACGACATCAAAAAGCCACCAAAAAATAAATAGTTGTTGCATTATCATTTTAAGTTTTTTCGACGTTCGTGCTGCACTGGGCACCCTCATCAAGGACCAGAGGAGCTGGGCGACACGACTGGACGCCAGCTTCTGTACATATCACATGAGAGGGCATGAGTAAGGAAAGGGGGGGGAGGATAGCGGCTGCCGCTGGTGAGTCTCAGACAAACAGGAAGTGTCCCACCAGCTCAGCCGAACGTAACCAAGCTCGAGTAGAGATCCATGGGCGGCCCTTCGTTAGGCCAAGGTGGAGTTAGTAGGGTTGGGTTACAGCGATAAGGAGTCCTGTCCGTTCGCTCAGCCGCGGCGTGACATGAGATGCAACGCGTCTTTGGGGCAGAGCACCGAGGGACCTTCTCAACGGCAGAGAGACCAACGGATCGTGCAAGTAAGACGAGAGGATTGAGCAAAGTTGTTCTGTACTCACGTGATCCACTGGTAGATTTCCTTGACGGTGAGCTTGCCCTTGTCCTTGAGAGCCAGCTCGATGAGCTCCGTGTAGGTGAACGGCGGCTTGCCCGGGCCGCTGTATCGGTGAGCCTGCGGGTGCGGGCCGGGGTTGACGGCGGCCGCCGGGGGCACGCAGGGCGCGGCGGCGGCGGGCGGGGCGTTGCTGGCGGCCACGGCGGCCACCTTGGGGCTGACACTCCTGCCCGGGCTCCTGCCCGCCCCCGCGCCCACGGGCGTGCCGGGCGAGAGCGCGCCGGGGCGGCCGGGGCTCGCCGCCGGGGGGAGCGCGTCGCAGACCTGCTCCACCACCCCTGGAAATGAAACGGAGCGCGCCGGCGATCACTTCCGGTGTAAGGGGAGGACGCGCCGCTATCGAGCCCGTCTCGGCCCGTGCACCGCCCGCGCACGTGCCCGTACCCACGCAGGCCATTACGCAGGTGGTGCCCGGCTATCTCGCGAGGCGCCCTGTCACCCGGGGCCGCCCGGGGCCGCCGGCCGCGAGGGCGCCCGCACCGCGAGCAGCGTCGCGCGGCGGGTGCTCGCCACTCGGCGGACGGCGTCACGGAGTTAGGCGCTCCGGCCCTGCGGGCGTAACCGCGTCTTGATGATGCCCTGCCGTGCCGACCGACCCGCGCCCCGCGCTGCGTCGCGCGGGAGGACGGACAAAGCGTCGCGGAGCGGGGAGCGGGGAGGGGGTCATTGGCGCCCTTCCTGACGCCGCACCACGCGGCGCCGCTCACTGCGTGCGAGGCGTCGCCTCGGCCTTCAATAATGGATTGATTGGGCGACGCTTCGGGAGGGAAGGAAGGGGACTTGAGGGGCCCGCCGCGCCAGCCGCGCACCGGGGGATGGACAGGCCTGCCGGGTGGGCCGGCGGGCCGGGGCCGGCGAGGACCGCGGAGTGCGCGCCGAGGATCTAGTGCAGAGGGGGGCCCGCGAAATATCGATTCCGGCTTTTCCCGCGTGAATCATGTGGCGTGCTTGCTGCCCGCGGCCAGTGACGTCACCGCGGGGCAAACGCCAACGGAGTGCTGCCGGGGGCTCGCGGGGGCCGCTGAAGGGGTAAGGGGGTGGGGGGTAGTTCATACAGGGTAAGCTACGGTTAGAGAGCCAGCCGGAGAAGGCGCGTGCCGCCCGAGGTCCACTTCCTCTCCGCGGACCGCGGCCCAGCCTAGCTGCCATCAGCTGGTGCACTGGCGTGGCGCGGGTGGCGGCGTGGCGCAGCGTGGTGGGGACAGGTGTGCGCGTGGGTGCCGAGGGAGGGTGCGGTGCGGGCACTGCTCGCGACATGACCGTCCCGCTGCACTAGACACGAAATCCCCCCACCCCTCCTTTCTATTTTTCCGTCGCTGTTGCCCTTTCACCTTTCACTCATACCTATTTCAATATCCGAACTGCGCGCTGTGCGGGCGGTTCCAATACCGCTAGCACCTGCGATGACCGCGGCTAGGGCCGCCGACGCCCTGCGCTGCGACAGCGCGACGCGGACCTGGAACGAACGGCGGCGCGGGGCCACGCCGGCGCCGGGCGGCAGCGGCGCCATGGAGGTCCCGGGGGGGCAGCTGCGGCGAGGACGGCGACGATGACTCTGGACGCAAGGGGTGCGGCGCGGGCACGGCCGGTGCTCCGCTGCCAGGGGCGCTCTGGACGCGACTGGACAGCGCCGGCCGCCCGCCGCCCTTCGCGTCCGGCCAACGGGCAGCCCGCGGGCGGCATGAGCCAACCTGACCGCAGAACTACCCCCTCCACCCGCCGCTGCCGCTGCCGCCGCTGCCTGCCGCGGCGGCTACTGCTGCCCAGGCTATACGTACCGCACCACAGCTGCGAGACGGGACGGGTACGACACGCCGCCCTCGTCTCCACGCCTGGCCGCACCTAGTGCCGCACCTACCCCTGCGCCGCCGGAACCCTCTCGAAAACACGCGCACCGTCGTCGCAGACTCCGAGCCGATTCAGTTGGTTCCAGTTTGCTTGTTCTCCTTCGTGTCGCTTACCCTTTTAGACAGTCCCCAAAGACTGTCTCTATTTAAAACGACGAAGCCCCGTCACATCGCACAACTACCCCATCCCGCCCGCATGAGCTCGAAAAAGTCTCGCTTTCTGAGCGATAGTTTCTTTGGCGCCAAGTCCGGGTGCTTGCTTGTCGGCCGTCGGCTCTGCCACGGCCCGCCACGGCCCCCCGCTCCTCGCCGACACGGAGCACGACTCCGGAGGGCGGCAGCTGCCATGCGGGGCGGGGGCGGGGTCTGCGCCCTGCAGCACACCCGTCACACCTATCGCCTAGGGAGTAACGGTAGAACCCTCACATGACACTTGTGAACGTTGTGAAATTAACTCTTCGCTTTCTTCGGGTCGGAACTGTCAGAACGACCTGTACCCCCCCCCCCATAACCCTTCATCGCTGACGGGTCGTGTTGTCAACGTGTTCACATGAAGAGCAATGCAAAGGTACTCACCCTGCACCGAGGCCGTCGCTGGTGAAGAAGCTACTCCGCCCTGCCTGGTCTTCGGCTGCTTCTTCGGCTCGAACACCGAGTCGACCTTAAAGTTGATGAGCCAATCCAGGTTTCCGAAGTCACTGTCCACCTGGTCGGCGTGCGACCTAGAGGTGTGGCTGGAGGCTGGCGCTGGCGCTGGCGGCGGGGTCGGGGCGTACTGTTGCGCCTCCCTCAGGATGGCGTTGTGGAGGGTGGACGTGCCCCCGAGGGGCCCCAGCGGCCCGATCACCGGGTCGTCCAGGTCGATGTACGCCGTCTCCCCGTCGAGCGAGGTATGCGCCGGGTAGGACGAGTCCCAGGCCTCGTCCACGACCACGATCTCGAGGCGCGTGGCGTGCGGCGCCCAGATCTCCTCGATGGTGGCCTCCTCCACCAGTGCGCCGTCCTCGCCCACGATCTGCAGGTCGACGAAGCGGGTCCCGGACCCGGATACCGAGGCGGCGCTCGTGAGGGCGGGCCGGCGGCGCTTGCACGTGGTCGCCGTCGTGTCGGCGTACAGCTTCCTCTTGGTGGCCTGTCCGAGGCCCATGAGGCCCCTGCCCTTGTGGCCCTTGGGGCCCACGTCACAGAGTCGCGGAGCGAGGTCGATCATCGTGGAGGCGGCGTCGCAGTCACAGGGTCATGTCGTGAGAGCGCCTGCGCCCGGACCCGCACTGTCTTGGCTGGCTGCCCCCCGCAGACTGGCTGGCTCGCGCCCGCTCGCACCGCGCTGCCTGGCCTGCACCGGCTGGCCCACGTTCACCTGCCTGCCGCTGCCGCACGCCGCGTCCCACACCGCTGCAGC